AGCGTCCAAACCAAAACCGAATGAATTCAGGCCGTACCCGCGGCACCCCGATGCCGTTTCCGATGGCTTTCATGCATTCAAAGCTGCCCCCATACCGAGACAAAAACCGAAAACACTTCACCGCGATCTGAGCAAGTACGGTTGCACGTGGTGTGCCTTGCGCGACGGTCTGAGACATAGCATGTACCATGGAAACAATACGCCAAACATCATTGCCATCTAAAATACAACCCCACCTTGGGTCAACGCAGTAGCCGCCCCTGGTCGTAGGAGGTGCGTGCTCGGACCCGAGACCACGCCCCCTGCGACATCGAAAGACGGCCCTCCCCCCCCGGGGGAGCAGGGCCCGCGCCCCTATTCCTCATCATCGTCCTTCGCGCCGCCGCCGGCACCGCCCTTCGCACTGCTGCGAGTCTTCGTCCCGGCCATTCCCACCTTGGCCCGCTTCGCTGGGGCGGCGGCCGCAGGGGCGTTGGTGTCGGCGACGGTGGAGGGGCTGCCTTTGGAGCCGCCCTCCTCGGCTCCCCCGCCAGTCATGCCCCCCTTTTCCTCCCTTTCCGCCGGCCTTCCGTGGCGCCACATGCGCGAACTTGCGGTATTTCCCCCACCGACATGTACCGTCTCTCTGGAACTGGTAGCACGGCCCCTGGTCCTTGGCCTTGCTGCCCTTCCCCCCGGCACCCGCTGCGGCGGCCGACGAACGGCCGGCCTTGCTTTGCACAGCAGAATTGATCAGCCCTCCCGACCGGAGATACGCCGCGAGGTTTGGGAAAGCCGGGAGGGGGAGGGTCGGGAGAGCGTCCGATGGCGGAGGGAGAACGAAGCGCCGCGGCATCTCGTCCGCAAACATCTGTACGTCGCGCGTGTACAATTCCATATCTTTGACGATGAACGTCAAAAGGATGTCGTGGTTGTGCGGCACTTGGATGGCCGCGTAATTCTCCCGAGCGTGCCACTCCACGGCGATGGCCGCCTGGAACGAGGCTTCGACACGATCCACTTGCGCTTTCGATGCCGCCGCCAACCTCGGTTCGTCGGCGATCCCCCGGCGGGCGATGGTGATAAAAGCCCCCGCCATGAGGCCGAAATGCGTTGCGATGGGGAAACGTTCGCCACCCGCCCCCCGGGGCGCGAATGCAGCAGGGTCAAAGCCACGGAAGTTCAAGAGCATGCCGACTACCTCGTCCGTGACCTCAATACTATCATGCATTAACCCTTGCAGGCTCGGCTTCTCTAACTTCGGCGGAAAACATCCCATCACCACCCACCACATGCGGCTGTTCACCGAGCTCCAAGCGTTCACCCGCTGGTCCGAGATCACCTTTTCCACCCGCCGCTGGGCGTGCGACATCCCCGTTCCCATCCCGTATCCCCCGGAGTCGATGTAAAGGCCTCCCGCTCCAAACGGGGACGAAATCGCGGGAGTGAAGCCTAAGCCCCCCCCACTGCCATACCGACCAGCGCCCTGCAGCAACCCGGGACTCGACTCCACGCGGTGGAGCCCGTAACCCGCGCTCGGGCCCCCATACATGGGCGCCGGCGCCACGCCGGCAGCTGCACGCGCGCCCCCATACCCGGGCGCTGGTGCAGGTCCGGCAGCGCCACCCGCGGCGGCCCCGCCGCCCCGATCACGCACGGCTGCCAGCACCTCCGCGAACCTCGCCGCCATTTCGGCCTTCAGGTCCTCCACCTAGGCGCTGATGACGGCTCGCTCATTAGCGCTGTCCTGCCGCTCCGCCTCGTACTCGTCGCGGCCGATCATAGACTCGTCGGAGGAGTTCTCGTCCCCGCTCATATCTCTGCCCCCGGCCGACTTGCCGCCGATGTACCGATCAATTTCCTGATCATGATGAACAAGGGGGACAATATACATCGGGAACTTAAGATAATGATGCGTATGCCAACCGTATCCCAGCCGCACCAGCGACCTACACGCTGCTCCTGACCACCACGTCTCATCACCAGATGAACCGCATCAGAAGGCTCTAGCGTAACCAGTGGTATTGCACCCTTGGTTTGTAATCTTTGCGATTGAAACTGCGCCGCTCCATGCACACCAGCGCACGCACCGCAATCGCATCATCAGCTAGGCATCGCCCTGCTCGAGCAAGCCCCCCAAGAGCGGCGACATATCATATGCACACCCGCTGCCAACTTCACATGGCATTTGTGCCCGTCTGGCCTATACCACCCTGTGCCTTCTGGATAACGATACGTATCACTGCTGTGCGCTGACCGCTGTTTGTTAACAGCTAGCGCTCTCTGTTCTGCTGTGGAACCACACGCAACGTCACATCGCACGTACCACAGTAGTCGACGCTTCTCCGAGAGCGGCGTATCGACTCCGTCGCCCAGATTCTTGGTCTTCACCCCGCCCGCAAAGGCGACAACACTAGCTCCCCGGAACAGAACGTCTTCACAGGTAGTAGCTGGCAGTGTTGTCCATTCGTACGTTTAGCAGTCCCTGTACTCCAGCACTGATGATGCTTCAACGTGATCGGGCGCAAACAGAATGTCCTGCGAGCAGCTGCCTTCTCTCGGTGCGCATGTCTCCTCTTCTATACGCACGCAGACATCCTCTTTGGCATAAAATAAATGCTCACTTCTCATCAACTCCAATAGACACCAATTTCAGACTCCTCCCTCCTTAGGTTGGATCCATCTGAAATACTCGTTTTTTCTCCGTCCGGGTTGGTGGCTCTGGTAAAGTTGAACTTCCTTCTCGCCTGGACTAATAACTACGTACGGGTTATAGGGAAGGAACAATCGGGAAGAGAACACGCCTTCACTCATTCTTCTCGCTGGCATGTTGACCTCGACCAATCAATCAGTCTGCCCTGGAAACTTGATCCTCCCATCCCTCCTTCGGCTGGCTTTGGACTCACTCAATCGCCCAGAGAACCGGACCATGATATCACGACAAGACTGTTTGTAAACTCGTGGCTTCTGGGGAAAAGATGTTTTATTGATGAGACCTTGGACCAGGAGAACAGGTCAAAAGGTGAAGTGAGCAAGGGTGGGGAGCACCACAGCACCGCAGCCACCACCCGTGTCGCTCGACCAACGCACAAAAGCAGAACACAATGATATCGGAACACAAAAGACTCAACAGACAAGGGCTAACGTACATAACAACATACCATGAATCCTCTGACTGATGCACTATCCACAAGAAACACACTCGGGGTAATGCACCATCCACGAAGAACATTCCCACAGAACGTTCCTTGCTGTTCTGATAATATGTGGCTACTCAACGATCTTCAACGCAGACAGTCCCGCAATGCAAACTGTCCAATCAAGTTGTTCTACGTCACTCTGTCGACACACACAGCAGCAACTATCACGAACAAAGACCAAGATGTAAAAGACAAGACATGCAAGTCAGATCGTTCGAACGTACGTCTGAAGCGGCCCGGTCCGAATCATCACATATAGGCGGCCAGTTTCACACACGTGTTGCCGCCTATGGAAAAAATACCATCTTACCTTTCAGCACGGACGTTACAACTCTCGCTGTAGTGTTGATCCCAAATCGTGCACATCATCTATACGTTGCCATGTACTAGACTGGAGACACACACATACCAATTTTTGTCAGGTTTGGTTGAGGTTAGGTACCAGGCCAAAGGCGTCGTCAGTCCGTTGCGTGCTTCCATGGCTTGGACTGCGATAACATGTTTGGAGGAAGGCTCATGATCGTTCTGGAAGCCTCTCTGCTGACTACTGGAGTTCAGTCTTGAATTTGGGCCGACTTCCGCAAGCCCACGGTCATCGCTGTATGTAGCGGAGATCCTTAATCGTGCACATCATGCAGTCGTTCCATGATCTTTTATCTCTACTATGTCCAAGTATCAGAGAAATTGGGAGACCGTAGTGCCAGGGCCACCGCAGGTGAAAGTTGGCTCACTAGAAGAGCTAAGTTGGGCGCAGCAGCAGCCGAAGGCTGTTTCATATCATATGTGATCGTGAGGCATTCATCGCGTCAACAACAAATTTAGAGGGTAAAATGTAGCGGCGGCGGACCAACATCCCCACGGGAGCCTGAAGGGTTCAACCCCTGACGGCAACTAATACGATGATGTGCGAAGGAACGGAGACCTGAGCACGGAGGGCGGCAGACATAAGTGGATCTAGTTGGATCCGTCCACGGGGGGCCCGTTACCCCTTAGTTCACTATAATGTCTGTTTGGGATACGGCACGGAGCCCCCGGCTCCTGCCGCCAACCTGGTATCTCTCGATACTGCCCTGAGCCAAAAAAGAGAATAAGCCCTTGCGCCCTTGAACTGTGACACTGTGATCTGTGCCGATACTGACTCGTGCTAACGGAGTGGACATTGGATTGTGCTGCTCTGGAACTGTGCTGCTTGCCTAACTGAGCTAACCCTCGAACCGAAGCAGAGGAAAGGTGAGCTGGTCTGTAGTCTACATGTATCATCTACGGGTGTGACCACCGTAAGTACCTCCGAGGCTGGGACTCCGACTAGACCGCTACCGTGGCCTACTGCTACATGGTACACGTACACGGAGCTTAGGGTTCCTCAGGGATCAGCAGACCAGCAAGTTCGATTGCCTTGGCATGCGGGAGGAGCTTCTCTGCAGACCTTGTTTCCTTCTGCTCTCTTCTTTTTTTTTTCACGCCGCTTCTCCCCCGCAAGCACCATTCGCTCATCTCCATCTACACCTCTTGTACCTCCATGACCGCAAGCCTATCAGCGATATGCAACACACCCGAAGGAAACCAGACCATCCCGAGCACCATAGTCGAAAACCAGAGGAAAATCGGGCCCCTACGCGTCAAACCCCAACGCGTGCGATCAGCGTGAAACTGCTGGCGGTTCCCCCCGCCCGGCGCCTTCTACCACCAGCAGGCGCTCCCTCCCACCAAACTTCGTTTCACTTCAACGCCTAACACTCAGCGAGGGGAGACACCCAGATCCCCCCACTGCCGCTAACTTCATCTCTGTGACCAGTGGGAGCTTGCCTGATACTTGCGGGGTTCTGCCATGCTCGCGTGCCGCGCTATTTACCCACCAAAGGACCACCAAAACCACGGCCGTCCGAAATTTTTCTTTCCCCAACAAGGCACGCGCTGCCTCACGAAGGACTGTTCTCGAAACACGAGAATCAGTCTGCGCACTGGCACCCGCTTGAGACGAGACGTGAACGCACCACCACGCGACCTTTTTCCCTCGTCACCCCGCCCAGGCACCTACCTACCTCTGGCTCTCCACTACATTGCTCTACCCCACACCGCTTAGCACACACGTGATCGTGTGCTGCTCTCTTCCGATCTGGTCTGTAATATGCTTTCCTTTTCCATGTTCTCTTCGCACCAAGCGTGTCTCAACCTGTCTATTTTTCTTACCACCTTCATGACACACCCATTTTGGGGCGGCATCACTCGTTTGATGATTAAATATATTGTATCGTGTTGTTTTTGTTTTCTCGTNATCTACACCGCACCACCACTCCTGCGCGCTCGACTGCGCATCACGTCACCAGCACTGCCTCCTTTGAAATGTATTCACTGCTGCTGTGACCAACTGCGCGAGTCGACCGTGTGCTTCCCACTTCGCCGTGTTATTGCTATCCCCCGGGTAAGTATCGGTAAGGCGACCGAGAGAAGTGTGTGTACTTTGGCTGAGTTCTGTTCAGGTGTGTGTGTGGATGCATGTGTTCTTAATTACGCTATGTTTGTGAGCACTGTTGCTTTCCACTAAACTTGCTGTGTGTGTGGGCGCATGTGTTCTTAATTATGCTATGTTTGTGAGCACTATTGCTTTCCACTAAACTTGCTGTGTGT